ACACCGCTGGGCCACTTTCCTTATCCGGTGGGCATACTTTGGGAGTCCCATATGCCAGAACCCGTTAGAACTAGTAATCGTCACGGCAGCGCTATGCAAAGCATAACGATCGTTGTCCTGCCATTGGATGTATGCGTCCGTACCCTCGTGATGGGATAGGGGTATCCCCCAGATGCATGAACACACATAATGCATGAGGTCCCCATTACTTCTACATTTATCATTAATAAACATAGCCCCCTGTCACGTTCCATGCTTACATGTCATTCTCATTTTCAATTTACGTATTATACATATTCCTATCGGGGTTATGTTTCCAGGCAGTTTATCGTGTTTCATGTCATACAATTCATGCTGTTTACATTCAAATATTCCATACAATCATGTCATAATCATTCAAGAACAACATATCGTCACATGCATTACATATCACATCAGACTAAACAGCATACATTCACGTTCACATGATTACGTACTTAAGCACAACAATCTAGCATACAATTTAATGATACATGCGAATCCACGGGCACGTGCCAACAAACAACAAATAATGCGTAACCTACGACGGGTGAGCCATTTACTTGGTAGGCCTTAGCCGAAGTACTTCCCTAAAATATAAATGTAAGCTCCTAGCTCCTCGTGAACGTTCTACGTTTCTGTTGGTGGTTGGTTCCTATTGGATCATTCGTCACCTTCGTTAGTATTTCACAAACATAATTAATTTCCAACTTGAATTTGTGAAAGACGACCTTAAAATGATCTATTTTATCTTAAACGGGGCCGAAACTAAGTCCGGGAGGGTCAGAAGGGTGACAAACAGGCCGGAAACAGGTTTCCCGAGCCGAATAAGCCGTCGGAGCCGAGGGGTGTCGCGCTGCAAACGTGTCACGTGACACAACCAGAGGATGACGTATGTGCAGTAGTCTCGGGTTGTCGGGTCACTCGCGGGTTTTCGAGTCGTTCACGGGTGACGGGCCGGCCTGGGCTGAAGGAAACGTGTAGGTGGGCTAGGCTGTGCGTGTCGGGCGTTAGACTGGGCTTGCGGGTCTCGGGTCGTGGCTAATGGGTTAGGTCGTAACTAGGCTTACGGGTTTGGGCTGAGGCGACTGGGCCGCGGGAGTCGTCGGGTGTTGGGCTGACTTACGGTGGTTGGACTCGGTCCGGGTCTCGGAATCCGAACCTCGGGTCGGACTTCGTCTTCTTCACCCGGTTGCATGCGTTTTTTTTCCGATGACCTCTCTCTCTCTCCTCATTAACGTCGTTTCGACGTCCTTTTTTCCTCCGTTCCCGAGTCTCTTTCTCCCCCTAATTTCGCTTTTGGTATAGGTTTGGTTCGTAAAGGCCTCACACTCCCGGATCTGGAAGGGTTCGAAAATCCGATGCTCCGTCTCCCTTGCCGACAGTGTACAACGTGTAGGACTCGTCTAAATCTACCCCTGATGTTTGTAAAAGGCCCTGGGATTACTTTTGTTGCGTAAAATGGAGGTTTTGACGTCGATTTCGTAGGGTTTGGCCTTGCCGGAGTTTCGTCGGATTTTCTCTCTCTTCTTTGTTTTCACTTATTTTTTTCTTCTTTGCAGGTGTTTTGGAGTGGCTGAAAGTCGAGATCGAGTTTCCTTTGCATCCCAGACTTCGGCCGCCCTTTGTGGGTCACGTGCGAATAAAAACTCCAACGTCGCCGGAGTTAAATCTTAGATGAATTATGTTGTTCATGAAATTTTAGAAGAATGCTCAATATGACATGATAATGTTATGTATGAAATTTGGTTACCATTAGGTTATCATAACGGGCTAAACCAAGTGTAGGTGTAAAATGACTAAAATACCCCTATAATTATGTTCTCCTAGACTAGCATATGACCAAAGTGACCTCGAAGTGAAATGAAATTTGATGAGGAGCCTTATGTCATGATGTATAGGAATTACTCAAAGTTACAAGGCTATTTTAATAGGTTGAAGAATTAAACCAAGATTTGGGATGGTAAATGACCAAAAGACCCTTATTAAATTCTACTAGGTTTTCAAGGTCGTAGAAGACTCAAAATACTATAGAAAATTACATGAGACCCATTTATGATATTAAGGACAAGTATGAAAGATTTTAGGGAATTGTAAAAAATTTGGAGTATGAATTAAGATTTAAAATAAATAATTATCCGACACTTTATAAGACATCAAAGGTTTTATAAATACCAAAGTGACAAGCTTACGAAAGTTTTATGTATGCAAATAAATGTTTATGACTCATATAAATTAGGGTTAAGATTTTTCCATAGTTGTACTTCAACATTTAATAAAGAACTCTTAGAATAAGCACCCGAGTTATTTCAAGATTAAAGCACTCTCGGGACTGAAGTTTATAATGTAATAGCAAAAAAAAAATCATAAATAAATAAAGAAATAAACAATTATAAATAATTAAAAAAATTACTTTACAAAATAAATAAATAAATAAAAAAGGAGAAACAACCTCTCACTTCTCTCCACTAACCTCTCTATCACTTCCCCAATTTTGAGAAACAAAAAAACAACTAAACAGATTTTCAAATTTATTGGAGAAAAAAATGACAATGATCTCTATTAAATCCCTAATTGAGATTCAATTGTAGACTTAGATTTAGTGGAAGATAGATAAGATATTTATTAAATTTTCATTTTCCTTTATCATATTTCTTATTTTTAAAAATTACACTCAATTATAATTAGATTTTTATTAAATCATTACAATAGTTTACCTTTGAGTTAAGAACTAAATGTCAATCATTTATACTAATTCTAATAAATCACGTTAGATTAGTAATTTAGATTAAATTTATATTAGTAGAATAGATGAAAAATAAAATGGCCAAAAAAATTTGTAGACAAAAGGAAATACAGAGATAAAGGATTTGGAGTTGTATTGGGTACATGTAAATAATAAATATTTCTTATGAGAGTTTATATATTTTGATAAGATAAGAAACCACTACAAGGGGAGAAAGATTCGAATTACCTTGTTGATCGAATATCTCAAGCCAAGAACATTGTTTGAGATTCGAATCACTCCACAAGCAAGATCGATCATGTCTAGCTTGAATGATTCTTGTTGATCAAATATCTCAAGGCAAGAACACTTGCTTGAAATTCGAATCACTCCACAAGCAAGATTGATCATGTCGAGCTTGAATGACTCTACATGCAACCTAAACTACATAGAATTGCAAAGAAACTTAGCCATTGGCTAAAGAAGAGGACAAATGTTTCTTTTACTATATTTTTTCAAGTCTCTTATGGATACAACATACATGGCTTTATAGAGCCTCAAAATAAAACTAAAGGCATTCCAAGAGTTGTAACATTCATATTTAATGGTCATAATTAACCATTATGTAATTATAAAATGAAAAGTTCTAAAAACTCTAAATTACTCTAAATTGTAACCCACCCAAAATTTATAACAGTCAAACTTCATTCTTCTTCAATGTGGCATGAATTGAAACATCTTTTGATAATTTTGACAACCTTTTCTTCACATGTTCATTGAAGTATATTGTATGATTGATGTTTTTTGGTTCATATCATATTTCATATGCACTCAAAATAAGATTGATTGAATAACGTTAAAATCATTAGAAAATGACTTTAATAGTGGATATAAGTTTCAATTTCAATCAAGACTCTTTAAGCTCTGTGTTCTCACCTATTTTGAGCCAATATGAAATAGAATCACACGACCCATTGTTAATATTCTTAGGAAAAATATCACCAACCCTGACTTGCTTTTATCTCTTAATTGTCATCTCTTACAAAGTTTCCAAACCATTGTCGATCTCTTGCATCATCTTAGGAGGCTTTATCCCTTAATTCCTTACTTTGATGGCACTCTTGATTATTGGCTACACTAAAGGTTGCTTTATCGTCAATAAATTCGTCATGAGCGTTGTTCAAACTACCATCATTAGAGCCACAACGTCAACAACTGCTTTCAGTATGGTGTACACGCAAATAATAAAGTACAACTTAATGTTTCATATGCACTCAAAATAATTTTCATAGATGATCGATTGAATAACGATCGTTAAATGTAGTTAAAATTATTAGAGATTGAATTTGGATGTAATAAATTTTTTTTTAATTTTTAATTTTTTAAAAAACAAATATGAACTTCAATAAAAAGAGTATATGCACACATGTTTTTTTCACTTATGTTAGTTATTTTAAGATGATTATTATTACTATTTTTCTGTTCTCATACTCTTTGAAATGTAAAATTTAGTACTAAACATTTCAAGTAATAACCTTCTTGAATAGATGCAAACATCAAACCCTATTGTAAAAATATAATATAATATTGTACCAATTTTAACTAAATTTCTACCCATTTTAAATTTATGTCAAAAATATCTCTTAATAAATTATTATTTTTTTAATTTATTTCTAATAAATTATATTTTTATTCAACGTTGTTAAATTTACAAATTTATTAAATTCAAGAGTGGAGGCTAACCTAACTTAAATGTTTGTTCGGTATCAACCATATTAAGCTAAGCTAATGTTTCATGTTCCTAATAAACAACTTTCTTAGTTAAATATAAACTGATTTATCTGCATATACAAATAAACGGAATTAAAATTTTATTTTCCACACAAATTGTATATATTTAATTAAAATATTATTAACAATGAATCTAATAGATTTGAACACAAAAATAATAAGAACAAAAAAGGCTGCTTTCTAATAGTATGGGCCCAGATAAAAATTTGGTTAAGATTTAAATGGATAAATGGAGCAAAGATTCTAATAGGAGATTATACATTTAAATGAATTGTTAGAAGATAAATTGTGGTAAAGATTTTTTAAAACTTTAGTAAACTAGATTGTAGGAAGAGATAAAATGAATTTAAATCAAATTAAGAATAAATGGAATTAGGAAATTAACGTTATAAATAAGTAAGTACACCTCAACCATCTTCAAGTTATTTGAATTTGTTTTGGAGGTCAAAATTTGTGCAATTAAAATATGGGGATGAGCAAAAGAGTTGAAAGTTTGGGAATGGAGATTAGAGTTCCTGATCTAAGCCAAATTTACATACCTAAAAGAAGAAGGGGATCTTCGGGTGGGGGAAGGAAAGAAGCCGAAACTGAACCGTGTGTGTTGGAGGCTGCATCTACTTTGATGCACTTAGCCAAGACTGTTCCTAATGTTGAAAAGGAAAAAAGTTGGAACACACGCAAAAGGAAGACGCCTACAAGCAGTGCGCCTACGAGGAGGAAGATGGTTAAGAAAACTGAGTACCCATCCATTCCGGAGATGTCGGACGGGATGAGAGAGCAAATTATGGAGATGGGTGGGAGGGAAATTCATTTAGTAATTCAAAAACAAGTTCAACATACCGATATAAGTAAGAACCATGGTCGACTGTCCCTGCCGATAAATAAACTCCGTTTTGATTTTACGACAGAGGAGGAGAAGAAATTGCTGGATGAACAGGAAAACAAAAACAAGAAGGGGATGAACGTGGTGATGATATATGATGTTGGGAGAGAAAGTATTATATGCTTGAAGAAGTGGAAAATTGGGAGCAGTGATACGTACTGCTTGATGACGCAGTGGAATAAGTTGGTGGAAGAGACTGCATTGAAAGCCGGGGAACACATCCAACTGTGGAGCTTCCGTAAGGATGAGGCTCAACTTTGTTTGGCTATGGTTAAATTAGGGAGCTGTTAGAAAATTTTGAGGATGCCATTAACGTGGGATTTGTTTCTTTTATGGCCCGACTCCACTGTAAGAAAACTTTCATTATTTTATAAATTTGCCTTTTTACTTTATAAAATCTAATACCTATTAACTCTCAAATTTAATCAGTAACCTACAGTTTTATTAAAACAACCTATTCAAAACCCATTCTTCTCTCCTCTACGGTAAGGTTACTAATTTCTACCACGTCCAAACAAATTCGTGGTCATGAGTCACTTCAAAAATAAGATGAAAAATGGGATGAGTATAAAAAAATTACTTAATAAACAATCTTCTTCTAGTCTCTCATTGCATCCTTATCTTTTTAGATCATCAATACCGTATTTTGGAGACCTCTAGCGATTTCCACTCACGATTATGGTACCTAGTCGCCTTGACACATTACTCGAATCGACCTAAGGTTAGCTCGACAATACTACTCTTGTGTGCTTATCGCTTGGTAGGGGGTGATCAGATCTGACCTAGGTCATTGATAACGCTATCGGCGTATTGGAGTTGTAAAAGGAGACTCTGATGATACCATTCACGCTGCTAGTGGCTTACAGAGCTACTTTAGTCATTTCTAGGTGCTATAGAGGTCTACTAGGTTTCTAGGACGTCTAGGCCACTTAAAACGTGGACTCTTTATTACTAACACCTTGAGTTACTTGGTTCTAGGAGCACTATGGTGTAGACTCCTAATTGTTGTTTATGGTTCTAAAGTAATCGAAAAAACAGTATTCTTAAACCCATAAATCATACCTACGAATCTTCCTAGATTTTTTTTACCGATTTTGATTTTTTAAAAGTCCAAATCAATAGAGAGAATCATTATTAGCAATTTCTAAGTAGGATGCTGAATGTTGAAGACGGTTTTCCTACCCTTCTTCTCTAAGAAATCTAACCTCCACTCTCTTTATTTATTTATTTTTTTTAACTTTCTTTCCCTCAGTAGAACTTTTTATAATGACCAAATTATTCTTTGACTTTGACCATATTTCTAATTTTCTATCATTTTTTTATAATTTTTACTAAGTTCCTATTTCGAGCATTTCTTTCTTTTGTACCCATATGAAAATCACACTCTAAGTCTTCCAATAAAATCTATAAAGTAATCATGAATAAAAAAGTGTAGTCACAAGATAGAGCGAATTGTACCTGTTGGGCTCAGGGTGTTACACAGATGTCATGATCATTCAAATATGTCAATCATTAGAAATTGACTTTTGATGTAATAAAAAAGTCTTAATTTTCAAAACCATACAATTTTATATATAAATATAAATAGATCTATATATTAAAAAAAAAATACGAATATGGTGTACGTATGAAACTTTGTATGTTTCATATCTTCTCGACATCATTTTCATACATGACCAGTTTATGATGATAATAAAAAATCCTAGTTTTCAAATATATATATTTTTTTTTTTCACAAAAAAAATAAATATGAGTATATGGAATTGTTGTTTTGCTCTAGCCATTTTAAGAGGTTAATTATTACTATATATTTTTTTTTTATTCCCTTCATTATTCACGTAAATATAATAAAGGTGGTTCTTTTTTTTTAATATATTTTTTAATTTTATCTCTAAAATAACAAAATTGAAATTTTAATTTTATTCTAATAACAATATATTTTTAGAATTTACAAATTTATTAAATATAAAATTAAAGTTTCAATAATTTAATAGCCACCAATATATTTTTTAATGCTTATCATATAAACCAAAATGTATGAACCAAGCTTCTTAATTATAGTTTAAAAATTAAAAATTTACAACAAAAAAAAGGTAAGATGAAGAATCAAAAATAAAAATAAAAATTTCTATTTTTTTGATAGATGTTAAATAAAAACCGAGTTTAGCAATCCGACCTCGACTCAGCCATTTCTCCCAAATTGAAAAAGATAATTATATATGATAGGATATATATATAAAAAATAGAAAAGGAAGGCTTGAAAAAGCCCTCCTTTTATCTTTTCTTATTATCTTTATCTACCCTTTAATTATATGGATATATAATTATATCGATATATATAATTATTTAAATATATCAATTCGATAAAATCATAAATCAATTCCATTTACATAAATTAGATAATGTAAGGGCTCAAAACAAGAGGTATCTCCGATTCTAATATATAAATAATACCAATATATTAAAGATTACTAAAAATATATATTTCTAAATAATAAAAAAAAATATACTACCTCCTTTATTTTATTTCATTCCAAAATTCATTGTCATTTTATTTACACGGTCTGGCCTGTCAGTACGGATAAAATTTATATTACAAAAATAATATATATATATATATATATTTGTTTTTGTAATATATATATATTCCAAAAAGCTAAGCTAATCAATTCCATTTACTTAAATGTTTGTTCGGTATCAACCATATTAAGCTAAGCTAATGTTTCATGTTCCTAATAAACAACTTTCTTAGTTAAATATAAACTGATTTATCTGCATACACAAATAAACGGAATTAAAATTTTATTTTCCACACAAATTGTATATATTTAATTAAAATATTATTAACAATGAATCTAATAGATTTGAACACAAAAATAATAAGAACAAGCTCTCTAATAGTATGGGCCCCGATAAAAATTTGGTTAAGATTTAAATGGATAAATGGAGCAAAGATTCTAATAGGAGATTATACATTTAAATGAATTGTTAGAAGATAAATTGTGGTAAAGATTTTTTAAAATTGTAGTAAACTAGATTTTAGGAAGAGATAAAATGAATTTAAATCAAATTAAGAATAAATGGAATTAGGAAATTAACGTTATAAATAAGTGAGTACACCTCAACCATCTTCAAGTTATTTCAATTTGTTTTGGAGTTCAAAATTTGTGCAATTAAAATATGGGGATGAACAAAAGAGTTGAAAGTTTGGGAATGGGGATTAGAGTTCCTGATCTAAGCTAAATTTACATACCTAAAAGAAGAAGGGGATCTTCGGGTGGGGGAAGGAAAGAAGCCGAAACTGAACCGTGTGTGTTGGAGGCTGCATCTACTTTGATGCACTTAGCCAAGACTGTTCCTAATGTTGAAAAGGAAAAAAGTAGGAACACACGCAAAAGGAAGACGCCTACAAGCAGTGCGCCTACGAGGAGGAAGATGTTTAAGAAAACTGAGTATCCATCCATTCCGGAGATGTCGGACGGGATGAGAGAGCGAATTATGGAGATGGGTGGGAGGGAAATTCATTTAGTAATTCAAAAACAAGTTCAACATACCGATATAAGTAAGAACCATGGTCGACTGTCCCTGCCGATAAATAAACTCCGTTTTGATTTTACGACAGAGGAGGAGAAGAAATTGCTCGATGAACAGGAAAACAAAAACAAGAAGGGGATGAACGTGGTGATGATATATGATGTTGGGAGAGAAAGTATTATATGCTTGAAGAAGTGGAAAATTGGGAGCAGTGATACGTACTGCTTGATGACGCAGTGGAATAAGTTGGTGGAAGAGACTGCATTGAGAGCGGGGGAACACATACAACTGTGGAGCTTCCGTAAGGATGAGGCTCAACTTTGTTTGGCTATGGTTAAATTAGGGAGCTGTTAGAAAATTTTGAGGATGCCATTTGGGATTTGTTTCTTTTATGGCCCGACTCCACTGTAAGAAAACTTTCATTATTTTATAAATTTGCCTTTTTACTTTATAAAATCTAATACCTATTAACTTTCAAATTTAATCAGTAACCTACAGTTTTATTAAAACAACCTATTCAAAACCCATTCTTCTCTCCTCTACAGTAAGGTTACTAATTTCTACGACCTCCAAACAAATTTGTGGTCATGAGTCACTTCAAAAAAATAAGGGTTGTTTTAATATATTTTTAAATTTTATCCACATATTTTTTTTAATGGGTTAGATCATATAAACCAAAATGTATCATGGCAGGAACTTTTAGTATAAAAATTAAAAATAGTTTTAATAAGTTTTTTCAATCTTAAAATTTTTCCTAAATCTACACTTTGGTAAGTGAGTGAATTTAAATCAAAATTTTCTAAACTAGATTTTAGGAGCGGAATGATAAAAGAAATTCAAATAAATTAAATAATTAGGAAATTAAATTTTGCAGGAAGAGATGGAGTCTTATAATAAATAATAACCCATCACTCTAATTTTCCTTCCATCAACCCTTCATATTTTTTTAAAAAGGTTGAGAAGGGAGATTAGTATTACAACTTTAAACTAAATTTACATCCCCTAAAGAAGACGGGGATCTTGCTGCACCAAAGAACAAATAAAGCCAGAAACCAAAACTATCGCTGGTGTGTTGGAGGCTGCTTCTATTCTGATGGACGTGACGAAGGCTGTTTCTGATGTTAATAACACCCGCAAAAGGAAGACGCCTCCCACCAACGCAGCTGCGAGGAAGAAGATGGCTAAGCGATGTGAGTACCGTCGACTTATAGATGTCGACAGGCTGAGCAAATATTGGAGATGGGTGAAAATGGACTTTGGAGAGGGAGGGATTTGAAAGAGAAATATTGGATTAAAATGTAATTTCATTAAGATTCAAATGGAAGATAGTGGGAGTGTTGGAGTTATGATATTGATCTGAGTTTGGTGGAAATTGATTATCATTAGAAATGCATCATTTATGGAATGGAACGTGAAGAAAATAGATTTAGCTCAAGATTTCTTAACAAAATTTGAAACTAAATTACGTTAAAAGAAATTAAAATCAGATTCAAATTCAAATTAAAATTAAATTAGGAAATAAAACCCTAATAGGTTTAAGTTTTGGAATCTAATCGGAATGTACCCATCAACCATCTCTCCCATCACTCCCAATTTCTTCTACTTTCATCTTTTATTTTATGTTCCGATTTCATAAGTTTCTGAGATTAGATATGGGATTAGGGTGTATACAATTTGGAGTAACCTAACCCAACTTATAAGGGTTGGGTTGGGTTATTTTTCGTAGATCCGAATTGATGGTTTGGTTTTAGGTTTACAATACAAAAACCTCGAGCCAAACCGAATAAAATTTATAAAATATTTATGCTAAGAAATTTAAGTGTATTCACAAGTTTGTTAGAGTGGTAATTTGTGCCTACCTAATTGACTCTCAGGCACGTTTGACTCCTTTTGAATTCGTTTTTGTTTATTATAGGTTATTGAAAATGATATACATACATTTGGGTTATTTTGAAAATTTCTATATTTCGAATTCGTCTTTTTAAGGTAAGGAAATGGGGATCTTCGGGTGTTGGAAAGAAAGAAAAAATCAAAGCTGAAACCGAAACTAGCTTCAGTGTTGGAGGCTGTGTCGGTTCTAATGGACAAGGCCTACGTTGTCTCTATGTCACATTAAAAGAATGATCATTCAAATATGTCAATCATTAGAAATTGACTTTTGATGTAATAAAAAAGTCTTAATTTTCAAAACCATACAATTTTATATATAAATATAAATAGATCTATATATTAAAAAAAAATACGAATATGGTGTACGTATGAAACTTTGTATGTTTCATATATTCTCGACATCATTTTCATACATGACCAGTTTATGATGATAATAAAAAATCTTAATTTTCAAATATTTTTTTTTTCACAAAAAATAAATATGAGTATATGGAATTGTTGTTTTGCTCTAGCCATTTTAAGAGGTTAATTATTACTATATATATTTTTTTTATTCCCTCTATTATTCACGTAAATATAATAAAGGTGGTTCTTTTTTTAATATATTTTTTAATTTTATCTCTAAAATAACAAAATTGAAATTTTAATTTTATTCTAATAACAATATATTTTTAGAATTTACAAATTTATTAAATATAAAATTAAAGTTTCAATAATTTAATAGCCATCAATATATTTTTTTAATGCTTCATCATATAAACCAAAATGTATGAACGAAGCTTGTTAATTATAGTTTAAAATTTTAAAATTTACAACAAAAAAAAAGGTAAGATGAAGAACCAAAAATAAAAATAAAAATTTCTAATTTTTTTGATAGATGGTAAAGAAAAACCGAGTTTAGCAATCCGACCTCGACTCAGCCATAGGATATATATATAAAAAATAGAAAAGGAAGGCTTGAAAAAGCCCTCCTTTTATCTTTTCTTTTTATCTATCTACCCTTTAATTATATGGATATATAATTATATCGATATATATAATTATTTAAATATATCAATTCGATAAAATCATAAATCAATTCCATTTACATAAATTAGATAATGTAAGGGCTCAAAACAAGAGGTATCTCCGATTCTAATATATAAATAATACCAATATATTAAAGATTACTAAAAATATATATTTCTAAATAATAATAAAAAATATACTACCTCCTTTATTTTATTTCATTCCAAAATTCATTGTCATTTTATTTACACGGTCTGGCCTGTCAGTACCTAGCCCCGGACTTTTTTTTGTCCCTGCCAATAAATAAACTACGTTTTGATTTACGATAGAGGAGGAAAAGAAATGGTTGAATAAACACGAAAACAAAAATAAGAAAAGGAGGGACTTATTGATTATAGATGATGTTGGTAGAGAACGCAATCTATGCTTGAAGGAGTGGAAAATAGGGAGTAGTGATACGACTTGCTTGATGACACAGTTAGAATGCGTTCATGGAAGAGACTGCATTGAAAGCTGGAGAACACATCCAACTGCTTCCCGAGTTTTAAGAGATAGAAATAGAAAATAGAATTGAAAAAGTATATAATCTTCATTCAGGTTTACCACGTTTAAATAGATACAAACTATTAACTAATACCTAAAAATAGAAAAAAAATAATATATCTAACTAAATCTTATAAATAAATAAAATATACGATTAATCAAATTTATACTAAAACTCTCTAAATATTTCAGATATATTGTAACTAATATATCTCCAAAATATCCTCTTAATACTCTCCCTCATGTTGAGAGTGTATGTCGATCACACCCAACTTGTCCAAGTTGGAGAGTGTATGTCGATCACACCCAACTTGTCCTTCAAAAGGTCAAATTGCTGTCTTTCCAGAGCTTTAGTAAAAACATCTGCCAATTGCATTTTGGTCGAAATATAACACGGTTTGATGATTCCAGCTTGTAACTTTTCTCGAACTATATGACAATCTATTTCAATGTGTTTCGTACGTTCGTGAAAAACTGGATTGGCTGTTATATGTAATGCTGCTTGATTATCACAATATAATAATGCTGGTTCGGACAGTGGAACATTCAAGTCTTGAAGAATGTATCTTAACCAAGTTAACTCTAAACAAGTATTTTCCATAACTCGATACTCGGCTTCTGCTGATGATCTGGACACATTAGTCTGCTTTTTAGACTTCAAATAAATAATTGAATTTCCAAGGAAAATGCAGAACCCAGAAATAGACCGTCTGTAAGTTCGACAACCACCCCCAGTCAGAATCGCAATATGCTTGTAATCTTAAATAGATACAAATTATTAACTAATACCTGAAAATAGAAAAAAATAATATATCTAACCAAATCTTGTAAATAAATAAAATATACTATTAATCAAATTTATACTAACAACTCCCTAAATATCTCAGATATATTCTAACTAATATATCTCCAAAATATCCTCTTAATACCGAGACTCGACTTTTTTTTATAATTTTTAAATGCTATTTTTTTTAGAATAAATGATAAATTGAACAGAGTAATTGATTTATTTTTATTCTTATTTTTGGTCTCTGAATTTAGAGTGTTTTTTCATTTTTTTTAAAAATAGATGTTGAAGAAGAGCATAAATGGTAATTGGTTTGGTTTCATTTTTTCTTTTAAACTCATTGTTTTATTGGAATGAGTAACCACTACTATTCTATAAAAAAAAATTATAGTTTTTTCAATTTTTCAATTTTGAATTCATATTTTAATAGAATTTTTGAATTTTGACATTGACCCCTAATATATTTTTCAATTTTGAATTCATATTTTCAATAAAAATTTCTATAAAAAAATTTCAAATAATCATAAAAATATAAATATAAAGGTTTTAAATTTATATTATAATTTAATAGAGATAAAATTGTATGAGAGGAGTTAAAATTAAAAATATATGATCCACTATCCCTATTTATTTAATTTTTATTGATTTGAATTAAAAATGGGAGGAATTTAAATTAAAAGTGGGAGGAATTTAAAGAAAGATAAAAGAAATATTGGATTAGAATGTAATTTCTATAAAATTGGGCTGTAAATTTTCTTAACTGAAAATTCAGACTAACCCAACCCAAATTAACTTTGGGTTGATTTTTAATACAATCTTGGTTGACTTATAAAATATTCATGCTAAAAAAATTTGACTGTATCCACGTGTTTGTAAGAGTGGTAATTTGGGTTGTGGCACGTTTGACTCCTTTCATTTTATTATTTAAATAAAAAAATTAAGAAAAGCAACACCTACAAATGTTAGCGAGTATCCATCAATTCCTAAGATGTTAGCGAAGCTGAGAGAGCGAATCATGAATATGAGTGGGAACGAAATTCACCTAGTGGCTCATAAACAAATACATAAGTAAGAACCAAGTCGGTACTCATTTTCGATTTTAGTACCGATGAGAGAGGAGGTTAATGAGTGAAAGAAAATAAGAACAAAAAGGATAATCAGAATGATAATAGATCTTCTGTGTATAGAGAGCAGTTTAAAGAGTTGGAAAATCGAAAACAATGATGTGAACTATGACACAGTCGAATTCATTGGTGGAAGCAATACCACGAGAATTGGAGACCACATCCAATTTTGGAGCTTAAAGATGATGAATTTGAGGTTTTTGTTCTTTTGTTAAATTAAAAGTTCTCATTTTGGTGAGTTATAAAGTTTTGACTTGTGATTAATTATTTAATTATATATATTCAGTTTTGAGGATGAGAATAAAAGAAAAATATAAAAAGAAAATTATTTCCGCTAGAAAGGTGGGGCCCACACATAACTTTTTGTTAAGAGGAAGAATTTGCTGAAATTCTACCTCCCACCTTCCAGTTACCTTCTTGTTTGGAAACTTGTGTCGCAAGTTGAGCTCTACACTCTTATTATTAAAAAAATAATAATAATAAGCTTTTTCAAGTCTTCTCATTTAAATTTATTAGTATATAAAAAAATTTCTCACTCCAAAAAAAATTACATTATTAATGTAATTTAGTTTAATATATGCAAAGAAATAAAATTTAAATCTACCAGCCAAACATAAAATAATATAAAGAAAGGAACCTTTGAACTTTCATTTTAATTTTTTTATTGATGAGGTAGATATAAATTATAATATGTAAATGCAATCATGCAAAGAATTATTCCTTGTCAAACTAACTGAGACCGAGATGAAAAAGTCAAAAGACTTTTACAATTTTTATGTAATTACGATTGTATTAATTTGGAGGCTGCATCTACTTTGATGCACTTAGCCAAGACTGTTCCTAATGTTGAAAAGGAAAAAAGTAGGAACACACGCAAAAGGAAGACGCCTACAAGCAGTGCGCCTACGAGGAGGAAGATGGTTAAGAAAACTGAGTACCCATCCATTCCGGAGATGTCGGACGGGATGAGAGAGCGAATTATGGAGATGGGTGGGAGGGAAATTCATTTAGTAATTCAAAAACAAGTTCAACATACCGATATAAGTAAGAACCATGGTCGACTGTCCCTGCCGATAAATAAACTCCGTTTTGATTTTACGACAGAGGAGGAGAAGAAATTGCTGGATGAACAGGAAAACAAAAACAAGAAGGGGATGAACGTGGTGATGATATATGATGTTGGGAGAGAAAGTATTATATGCTTGAAGAAGTGGAAAATTGGGAGCAGTGATACGTACTGCTTGATGACGCAGTGGAATAAGTTGGTGGAAGAGACTGCATTGAAAGCGGGGGAACACATCCAACTGTGGTGCTTCCGTAAGGATGAGGCTCAACTTTGTTTGGCTATGGTTAAATTAGGTAGCTGTTAGAAAATTTTGAGGATGCCATTAACGTGGGATTTGTTTCTTTTATGGCCCGACTCCACTGTAAGAAAACTTTCATTATTTTATAAATTTGCCTTTTTACTTTATAAAATCTAATACCTATTAACTTTCAAATTTAATCAGTAACCTACAGTTTTATTAAAACAACATATTCAAAACCCATTCTTCTCTCCTCTACGGTAAGGTTACTAATTTTGTCCACGTCCAAACAAATTCGTGGTCATGAGTCACTCCAAAAATAAGATGAAAAATGGGATGAGTATAAAAAAATTACTTAATAAACAATCTTCTTCTAGTCTCTCATTGCATCCTTATCTTTTTAGATCATCAATACCGTATTTTGGAGACCTCTAGCGATTTCCACTCACGATTATGGTACCTAGTCGCCTTGACACATTACTCGAATCGACCTAAGGTTAGCTCGACAATACTACTCTTGTGTGCTTATCGCTTGGTAGAGGGTGATCAGATCTGACCTAGGTCATTGATAACGCTATCGGCGTATCGGAGTTGTAAAAGGAGACTCTGATGATACCATTCACGCTGCTAGTGGCTTACAGAGCTACTTTAGTCATTTCTAGGTGCTATAGAGGTCTACTAGGTTTCTAGGACGTCTAGGCCACTTAAAACGTGGACTCTTTATTACTAACACCTTGAGTTACTTGGTTCTAGGAGCACTATGGTGTAGACTCCTAATTGTTGTTTATGGTTCTAAAGTAATCGAAAAAACAGTATTCTTAAACCCATAAATCATACCTACGAATCTTCCTAGATTTTTTTTACCGATTTTGATTTTTTAAAAGTCCAAATCAATAGAGAGAATCATTATTAGCAATTTCTAAGTAGGATGCTGAATGTTGAAGACGGTTTTCCTACCCTTCTTCTCTAAGAAATCTAACCTCCACTCTCTTTATTTATTTATTTTTTTTAACTTTCTTTCCCTCAGTAGAACTTTTTATAATGACCAAATTATTCTTTGACTTTGACCATATTTCTAATTTTCTATCATTTTTTTATAATTTTTACTAAGTTCCTATTTCGAGCATTTCTTTCTTTTGTACCCATATGAAAATCACACTCTAAGTCTTCCAATAAAATCTATAAAGTAATCATGAATAAAAAAGTGTAGTCACAAGATAGAGCGAATTGTACCTGTTGGGCTCAGGGTGTTACACAGATGTCATGATCATTCAAATATGTCAATCATTAGAAATTGACTTTTGATGTAATAAAAAAGTCTTAATTTTCAAAACCATACAATTTTATATATAAATATAAATAGATCTATATATTAAAAAAAAAATACGAATATGGTGTACGTATGAAACTTTGTATGTTTCATATCTTCTCGACATCATTTTCATACATGACCAGTTTATGATGATAATAAAAAATCCTAGTTTTCAAATATATATATTTTTTTTTTTCACAAAAAAAATAAATATGAGTATATGGAATTGTTGTTTTGCTCTAGCCATTTTAAGAGGTTAATTATTACTATATATTTTTTTTTTATTCCCTTCATTATTCACGTAAATATAATAAAGGTGGTTCTTTTTTTTTAATATATTTTTTAATTTTATCTCTAAAATAACAAAATTGAAATTTTAATTTTATTCTAATAACAATATATTTTTAGAATTTACAAATTTATTAAATATAAAATTAAAGTTTCAATAATTTAATAGCCACCAATATATTTTTTAATGCTTGATACCAAAATGTATGAACCAATCTTCTTAATTATATAGTTTAAAAATTTAAAATTTACAACAACAAAAAAAAGGTAAGATGAAGAACCAAAAATAAAAATAAAAATTTCTAATTTTTTTGATAGATGGTAAAGAAAAACCGAGTTTAGCAATCCGACCTCGACTCAGCCATTTCTCCCAAATTGAAAAAGATAATTATATATGATAGGATATATATATATAAAAAATACAAAAGGAAGGCTTGAAAAAGCCCTCCTGTTATCTTTTCTTATTATCTTTATCTACCCTTTAATTATATGGATATATAATTATATCGATATATATAATTATTTAAATATATCAATTCGATAAAATCATAAATCAATTCCATTTACATAAATTAGATAATGTAAGGGCTCAAAACAAGAGGTATCTCCGATTCTAATATATAAATAATACCAATATATTAAAGATTACTAAAAATATATATTTCTAAATAATAAAAAAAAAATATACTACCTCCTTTATTTTATTTCATTCCAAAATTCATTGTCATTTTATTTACACGGTCTGGCCTGTCAGTACCTAGCCCCGGACTTTTTTTTTTGTCCCTGCCAATAAATAAACTACGTTTTGATTTACGATAGAGGAGGAAAAGAAATTGTTGAATAAACACGAAAACAAAAATAAGAAAAGGAGGGACTTATTGATTATAGATGATGTTGGTAGAGAAAGCAATCTATGCTCGAAGAAGTGGAAAATAGGGAGGTGATACGACTTGATTGATGACACAGTTAGAATGCGTTCATGGAAGAGACTGCATTGAAAGCTGGAGAACACATCCAACTGCTTCCCGAGTTTTAAGAGATAGAAATAGAAAATAGAATTGAAAAAATATATAATCTTCATTCAGGTTTACCACGTTTAAATAGATACAAACTATTAACTAATACCTGAAAATAGAAAAAAAATAATATATCTAACTAAATCTTATAAATAAATAAAATATACGATTAATCAAATTTATACTAAAACTCCATAAATATTTCAGATATATTCTAACTAATATATCTCCAAAATATCCCCTTAATAGTCCCCCTCAAGTTGGAGAGTGTATGTCGATGACACCCAACTTGTCCTTCAAAAGGTCAAATTGTTGTCTTCTCAGAGCTTTAGTAAAAACATCTGCCAATTGCATTTTGGTCGGAAATATAACACGGTTTGATGATTCCAGCTTGTAACTTTTCTCGAACTATATGACAATCTATTTCAATGTGTTTCGTACGTTCGTGAAAAACTGGATTGGCTGCTATATGTAATGCTGCTTGATTATCACAATATAATAATGCTGGTTCGGACAGTGGAACATTCAAGTCTTGAAGAATGTATCTTAACCAAGTTAACTCTAAACAAATATTTGTCATAGCTCGATACTCGGCTTCTGCTGATGATCTGGATACATTAGTCTGCTTTTTAGACTTCAAAGAAATAATTGAATTTCCAAAGAAAATGCAGAATCCAGAAATAGACCGTCTGTAAGTTCGACAACCACCCCCAGTCAGAATCGCAATATGCTTGTAATCTTAAATAGATATAAACTATTAACTAATACTTGAAAATAGAAAAAAATAATATATCTAACCAAATCTTGTAAATAAATAAAATATACTATTAATCAAATTTATACTAACAACTCCCTAAATATCTCACATATATATTAGGAGACTCGACTTTTTTTTATAATTTTTAAATGCTATTTTTTTTTAGAATAAATGATAAATTCAACAGATTGATTTATTTTTATTCTTATTTTTGGTCTCTGAATTTAGAGTGTTTTTTCATTTTTTTTAAAAATAGATGTTGAAGAAGAGCATAAATGGTAATTGGTTTGGTTTCATTTTTTCTTTTAAACTCATTGTTTTATTGGAATGAGTAACCACTACTATTCTATAAAAAAAAATTATAGTTTTTTCAATTTTTCAATTTTGAATTCATATTTTAATAGAATTTTTGAATTTTGACATTGACCCCTAATATATTTTTCAATTTTGAATTCATATTTTCAATAAAAATTTCTATAAAAAAATTTCAAATAATCATAAAAATATAAATATAAAGGTTTTAAATTTATATTATAATTTAATAGAGATAAAATTGTATGAGAGGAGTTAAAATTAAAAATATATGATCCACTATCCCTATTTATTTAATTTTTATTGATTTGAATTAAAAATGGGAGGAATTTAAATTAAAAGTGGGAGGAATTTAAAGAAAGATAAAAGAAATATTGGATTAGAATGTAATTTCTATAAAATTGGGCTGTAAATTTTCTTAACTGAAAATTCAGACTAACCCAACCCAAATTAACTTTGGGTTGATTTTTAATACAATCTTGGTTGACTTATAAAATATTCATGCTAAAAAAATTTGACTGTATCCACGTGTTTGTAAGAGTGGTAATTTGGGTTGTGGCACGTTTGACTCCTTTCATTTTATTATTTAAATAAAAAAATTAAGAAAAGCAACACCTACAAATGTTAGCGAGTATCCATCAATTCCTAAGATGTTAGCGAAGCTGAGAGAGCGAATCATGAATATGAGTGGGAACGAAATTCACCTAGTGGCTCATAAACAAATACATAAGTAAGAACCAAGTCGGTACTCATTTTCGATTTTAGTACCGATGAGAGAGGAGGTTAATGAGTGAAAGAAAATAAGAACAAAAAGGATAATCAGAATGATAATAGATCTTCTGTGTATAGAGAGCAGTTTAAAGAGTTGGAAAATCGAAAACAATGATGTGAACTATGACACAGTCGAATTCATTGGTGGAAGCAATACCACGAGAATTGGAGACCACATCCAATTTTGGAGCTTAAAGATGATGAATTTGAGGTTTTTGTTCTTTTGTTAAATTAAAAGTTCTCATTTTGGTGAGTTATAAAGTTTTGACTTGTGATTAATTATTTAATTATATATATTCAGTTTTGAGGATGAGAATAAAAGAAAAATATAAAAAGAAAATTATTTCCGCTAGAAAGGTGGGGCCCACACATAACTTTTTGTTAAGAGGAAGAATTTGCTGAAATTCTACCTCCCACCTTCCAGTTACCTTCTTGTTTGGAAACTTGTGTCGCAAGTTGAGCTCTACACTCTTATTATTAAAAAAATAATAATAATAAGCTTTTTCAAGTCTTCTCATTTAAATTTATTAGTATATAAAAAAATTTCTCACTCCAAAAAAAATTACATTATTAATGTAATTTAGTTTAATATATGCAAAGAAATAAAATTTAAATCTACCAGCCAAACATAAAATAATATAAAGAAAGGAACCTTTGAACTTTCATTTTAATTTTTTTATTGATGAGGTAGATATAAATTATAATATGTAAATGCAATCATGCAAAGAATTATTCCTTGTCAAACTAACTGAGACCGAGATGAAAAAGTCAAAAGACTTTTACAATTTTTATGTAATTACGATTGTATTAATTTGGAGGCTGCATCTACTTTGATGCACTTAGCCAAGACTGTTCCTAATGTTGAAAAGGAAAAAAGTAGGAACACACGCAAAAGGAAGACGCCTACAAGCAGTGCGCCTACGAGGAGGAAGATGGTTAAGAAAACTGAGTACCCATCCATTCCGGAGATGTCGGACGGGATGAGAGAGCGAATTATGGAGATGGGTGGGAGGGAAATTCATTTAGTAATTCAAAAACAAGTTCAACATACCGATATAAGTAAGAACCATGGTCGACTGTCCCTGCCGATAAATAAACTCCGTTTTGATTTTACGACAGAGGAGGAGAAGAAATTGCTGGATGAACAGGAAAACAAAAACAAGAAGGGGATGAACGTGGTGATGATATATGATGTTGGGAGAGAAAGTATTATATGCTTGAAGAAGTGGAAAATTGGGAGCAGCGATACGTACTGCTTGATGACGCAGTGGAATAAGTTGGTGGAAGAGACTGCATTGAAAGCGGGGGAACACATCCAACTGTGGTGCTTCCGTAAGGATGAGGCTCAACTTTGTTTGGCTATGGTTAAATTAGGTAGCTGTTAGAAAATTTTGAGGATGCCATTAACGTGGGATTTGTTTCTTTTATGGCCCGACTCCACTGTAAGAAAACTTTCATTATTTTATAAATTTGCCTTTTTACTTTATAAAATCTAATACCTATTAACTTTCAAATTTAATCAGTAACCTACAGTTTTATTAAAACAACATATTCAAAACCCATTCTTCTCTCCTCTACGGTAAGGTTACTAATTTTGTCCACGTCCAAACAAATTCGTGGTCATGAGTCACTCCAAAAATAAGATGAAAAATGGGATGAGTATAAAAAAATTACTTAATAAACAATCTTCTTCTAGTCTCTCATTGCATCCTTATCTTTTTAGATCATCAATACCGTATTTTGGAGACCTCTAGCGATTTCCACTCACGATTATGGTACCTAGTCGCCTTGACACATTACTCGAATCGACCTAAGGTTAGCTCGACAATACTACTCTTGTGTGCTTATCGCTTGGTAGAGGGTGATCAGATCTGACCTAGGTCATTGATAACGCTATCGGCGTATCGGAGTTGTAAAAGGAGACTCTGATGATACCATTCACGCTGCTAGTGGCTTACAGAGCTACTTTAGTCATTTCTAGGTGCTATAGAGGTCTACTAGGTTTCTAGGACGTCTAGGCCACTTAAAACGTGGACTCTTTATTACTAACACCTTGAGTTACTTGGTTCTAGGAGCACTATGGTGTAGACTCCTAATTGTTGTTTATGGTTCTAAAGTAATCGAAAAAACAGTATTCTTAAACCCATAAATCATACCTACGAATCTTCCTAGATTTTTTTTACCGATTTTGATTTTTTAAAAGTCCAAATCAATAGAGAGAATCATTATTAGCAATTTCTAAGTAGGATGCTGAATGTTGAAGACGGTTTTCCTACCCTTCTTCTCTAAGAAATCTAACCTCCACTCTCTTTATTTATTTATTTTTTTTAACTTTCTTTCCCTCAGTAGAACTTTTTATAATGACCAAATTATTCTTTGACTTTGACCATATTTCTAATTTTCTATCATTTTTTTATAATTTTTACTAAGTTCCTATTTCGAGCATTTCTTTCTTTTGTACCCATATGAAAATCACACTCTAAGTCTTCCAATAAAATCTATAAAGTAATCATGAATAAAAAAGTGTAGTCACAAGATAGAGCGAATTGTACCTGTTGGGCTCAGGGTGTTACACAGATGTCATGATCATTCAAATATGTCAATCATTAGAAATTGACTTTTGATGTAATAAAAAAGTCTTAATTTTCAAAACCATACAATTTTATATATAAATATAAATAGATCTATATATTAAAAAAAAAATACGAATATGGTGTACGTATGAAACTTTGTATGTTTCATATCTTCTCGACATCATTTTCATACATGACCAGTTTATGATGATAATAAAAAATCCTAGTTTTCAAATATATATATTTTTTTTTT